AATTGATTATATCTTTCTCTAAAGCTAACGTCATTACCTGACAAGGTTTATTTCTTTGACAAAAGTGATGATGTTCGAAAAACTACCAAAACCGCAGTACGGTATGTGCTAATCAAGAGCAAATACTCCCCATACAAATCGTCCTTGAAGTTCAAAACTGGGCTACACAAACTTGTGTAAAATTACGATATTAGGTTCTTAAAGATATTTACTGTAGGTATATTGTATTTCTTCCTACCGAACTAACCGATACTCAGACTATATGTATACAATAGCCCCCTTGTCTTACGGTTCAATTGTACGGGCCCAAAAATTAAACGAACAAGAAATATATTTATTTTTACCGACAAATTAATCTTATGGCCTCTAATTATCTGAGGATAACTTGAAATTACAAAAGCTATCACTATTATTAAGTCCATAACAATTTAATACCGTTGAAGAAAAAACCACATTCCAAGGGCTGTGCTACAATTATGACATCAAATGAAATACATAAGGAAATAATTAAGCTTAGTACTTGAAACCAAATGTAATTTATGTGTAATCAGGTAGAGGATTCTCAAATCTACGATAAAAGCATCTAAACGGCAAAAGTTGTTCACAAATTATAAATGTGTATATAGACGACCAGGTGTTACGATGAAACTGAGTTATCTAAAATCGAAGAATAAAAATAACGATGTGATTAAATTAATCACGCGAAGTTAAGGAAACTGTTTTCGAATGCTGAAATTAAAATTTTTAAAAATATTCCTCTTTCTTAAAATCTCCCAGGAATTTACCATTGGATCATAGTTATTTTTCTCTTTCAAAAAACAGTTTTCTAATTAAACTGACGTAACAAAATTTATCTTTAGTGAATAAGCCATGACATTACAACGTGTGTGTTGTAGTGCATAGTTTATTTGATGTCGGATACTAAAACTCTTTATACATGAGGGACCATCTGATGATTTCTAATCTTTTAATTCATGAGTAAGTCTTTACTCTTAGATGCCTCCCAGCCGTTTTTTCACGATATTAACATTTACTATTTGACAGTATAATTTGTTGCCGATCTTGACTATGATTAATAAAAAAAAATGACTTTTCATCTTAGTAGAGTTATCAATGGAAAAATAGACTTGGATGATGAATTTGGGATTTATTTTCAAAACGAATGAGCAATCAAATCATAATCTGTTTACCGTATAGACATTTATCAGTCTTCATAAAATTTATCTTTAATACTTGAATTTACGAAAAGGTTTCTATTTAACTTAGGGATAGTTATTCTACTGAATTAGTCACTATGTTTAAAGTTCAAGGTAATCCTTTCTAAATCTATAGCTTCAATTGAATCATGATCTCAACTATTGAAATTACTGAAATCTCTACAAAACCCCTTCTGATAACAACCAACATGTGCTTACTAGTGACTGGCTTCAAGAGGTATATCCTATAATTCTAGTGAGAAGCATTGACCGGTGGAGTTCAACCGTGTCAGTTGTGAGGCAGGAACTCACTGGTGACAATGGTGGATGTGTCACTCAATTTCGTGGATTAGTTGAAGTTAGACATTATCACCGTTGGATGCCGACAGCCTCAGTGGTCTAGTGGTTAAGCGCTCACTCGCGAGGCTTATTGGCCCTGGGTTCGAATCCCGCGAGCCTGAGCCATGGATGACCATCGCTGAGGAGTCCCACAATAGGACAAAATGGCCGTCCAGTGCTTCCAGGTTTCCTATGGTGGTCTAGCTTCAAACGAGTCATGATCTCAACTATTGAAATTACTGCGATCTCCACAAAACCTTTTTTGATATTAGTTAACGATTATTTTAAAGGATATATTTCAGTTTGTGTTCACAAACTGCCATTAACTTCGACGCTAATAGGCGCATTTTTATTGGATAGAGTTTGAATTATTCCGTTGATAATATTCTAGACCCATTTTCTTCCTTGCATACGTACTTTCTGAGCGGATTGTCTCGAAATAGCCACTTTGTTACCAATTTTAGGATAGATAAATTATGGACAGGATTATGGTCAACGATACACGTTTTGTTCTATTCGGTACTTGTTAGCTGTATATGCCTGGATCTCCATGTTTAGGATCACGCTAAGAACCGAACCGAGTACCTTTCGCTTCAAACGTTGAGTCATCTATTAAGCTACTGAGACCAGATACCCATTAATCCATCTATAGTAATAAAAACAGACAATAAATGAATAGTTTATCGTCTGATATTTTTTAGCGTTTCAATAAACAGATTTCTTGGTTCTCTAACTTGTTGGTTGAAATCACCATCATTATTAACTTATTTTATAATGTAATTGAAAATAGTTGGTTAAACATTGTTCTGTTTATAAAACTATTTGTTGAAACATATATGTTTATTTAAAATGTGCTAAACATATTTAGTGGTGAAATAAACATGAATGACAGGAAATGATTCGATATATATACTGACCTTATGATATTTTAAACGAAGGTTCAATCAAGTTTATTAATAACTGTGCATGAAATGTTTACCTTAGTCCTGTGAACCACTATTTAAGCCACTATTACTAACAAATTTTCACTCTAAAATTTTGTTTACAAGTCACTTATCAAACGAACTGTTAACCTTCCACTTACATTTTTCTCATTAAAATGCTTATAAATCAATTTACTAAATTTAAGGATACGGTTTCCCTATATGACGTTATCATTAAATATAAAACAGTAGTGAATAGCTATGTATTCTACTTAGTAAATCCTTATCAATAAGAACATAATAACCATCTTTTAACTAGATCTAGGAAATAAGAGTTCCTGACTGATCAGAAATAGTTTCTAAACCAATTAACCTAATATTATTTGTCTCTTTAATCAATTCTTTTTTGAGTTTATTTATAGTTCCAATTGAAGGAGTGATGATAACAAAAACAAAGGCATATTCAATACTTTCTAAATGCCATGATAAAAACTATATTTTAAACTTCATTCAATCTCTATAAGCTTTCATTTATCTTATCACTATATATTGATGAATTTCAGATAAGTTAGTTTATTCTTATATAAAGGAAAACATTAATTAGTATGATATAAATTTATTCTAAATATTAGAACAATGAAAATTAATCCAACCATACAAAGAACAAACTCAACCTATTAAGGAAATTGCTAATCTTTTTCTCATAGAAAATCACAGTTTAATTAATCATAAAACAGTTTAATAGAAGATCAGACTAGAATAGAAACATTAAGATTACTAGCAACATAGTAGATTTAGTCAGAACATTAAAAAGCGAAGTAATACTTTGGACATTTACAGAATGTGTTAGATATTAAAACAATATTTAACTGTTATGTAATACCTATCTAATGTGTTTCTGTGGGACCTCAAAAATTACATATCTTTGATCCTAATTTATACGTTTAAAATTGAAGTACTTGAAAGATACATCGTACGAAAATGTAACATTCATATAACAACAATAAAAAAACATTTAAACTTTGGACAAAATAATAAATATCATGTCTACATACCATCATTCATTTTTTAAAGATGTCATTAAGTTTTGAAGGTAATCATATTAATAAATTGACATCGTTTGAAGGAACCAAACAGCCCTCAATAGCTACATAATAAATTGAAGCATTTTATGGTTGTGGACTATTAAATTTTAATTCATTGATATGGTAGCCTAAATGTTCTACCAACAAGTGTAAGATACAGACCTCCAATCAACTTCCCATTGTGGTGTAGAGTAGCTGAGCAAAGTGGAAGAAAAATGGTACACCTAATGATAACGGATGCACATTACAGGATCCCCAGAATACCAACACGTAATAGAGGACCAAAAACTGAAGCTACAAAGGACACTCACGTCACAACATTTGGGAATCTTGACAACAGCCATGAAGATATTATGCAAACAACACAGAGAACAAAGAAGAGACACCCTAAAGACGAAACTAATCAAGATCTCGAAACCATCCATGGAAGAAAACACAAACAACTACGTGGTCAACCTGTCAAATTCAGTGATGTCAAAGTTTCTTTCTTATTGCGCTAAATTGCGTGTGAAATCATTAATGGATATCAATAAAGAATTCTAGACTAAGATGAAGTAACTTTTCAATCCTTTCTTTCTATAAATGTTTCTCCAAAAAATGAGAAATACATTCAAATCAAAATTTGTTATTATGTACAGTGTACTACAAGTGCATAAACTTATGATTGTTTCAAATAATTTGGTAATTTTATTTTGGCACAGACCAACATTCAATAAATACAGACAACTTCGAAAAGATAATTGAACAGCACATTTTTAAAATTTTTTCAACTATTCAAATTAGCATTATATATATAATGAAAGTATTTGAGAACAAAACTTTTAGTTCATTCTGTTATTTAAATCCTGCTTACAAAATACTGTAGCTTAAATGTAAAGATTGGGTTTTATCTTTAAGGAATAGTATGATGTATATATTCACATGGTACCAGTTTTCTCATGAGCACTTGTTTTTTACTAGAAATCAATTTTTAATACCTAAAAAGTCCAAAAGGATTTATAATTCAGTGTATCAACTAAAAAAATATAATACTGATCTATATTTAACTCTGAATTTACCGATAATTTATACAGAATAAGCATTGCTTTTCTTCTTTATGTGGTTTTATTGTATTTATTGCTCTTCGTTTTTTGTTTCCAATAGTACTTAGATACATGAAATCGACATTGATGATTTTGATGTTCACTATTAAAAGTCAATAAACTAATTTATTTACTATGATCACATTCCGAATGACATATTCGAATTCTTGAAGCATCAGATTTTTCAAGTTTTGTAGTGCAATATTCTGATGTACACCGGTAAACATGGAAAAGATTCAGGACTTCCTGTGTAATGATTTCAAACGCATGATGCAGTTAAACAATGTTTCGAAACATCATAAAAAATAACTACAACATATAGCAATTCAAGTTATCACTCAAAAATAATAATAATAATAATAAAAAGACACCTACCGAATAACATTAGAAAATCTCGATAAAATGGTGCTATAAAATGAGCTTTTAATATAGCTAAATATGGCTTAAATCTAGGAAATACTTTTGAAAAACCAGTAGCTTCTGTAGCAAAATTAATAAATGCTCCTGTAGCAAGTATTCCATGTGGATGAAATCCAACCAAATAATTAACATTCATAGATAAATTTTCTTTCATTAATTCATTATCAAAATCATTATCATTTTTATAATCTTCATTATTCATAATAGAATTTATAAAATAAGAATAATGTTTAATATGATGATTATGAATTTTATTAAATTTAATAAATTCTTTACTAATTACTAAATGTATTGGAAAATAATCTGCTAAATATTCCCATATTTTTAAATAACGTATAAATTGTTTTGGATGTCCACCATGATTTTCTGAATTCCAATCCCATAACCAATAAATTATATATAGAATAAATAAAATAATAATAATTGAATATTGAAATTCATTTATTGAATTTATATTGATTATTGATAATTTATAATTATTGATGATATATATATTGAAAGTATTTAATATAAGAATGATTAAATTATTAATTATTATATAACATATAATGAATAATATAGATAAACAAAATAAACCAGAAAATAAAAATGTCATAACATATAGATAAACAGTTGTATTTTGAAAGAATTTAGTAAATAAATAATATAAACATTTAGTATTTGAATATTCACGACGTTTTAAGATCACTTCACCATTATCATTTAATTTGACATCATTAATATAACCATTAGAAGAAGAAGAAGAAAAAGAAGAAGAAGAAGAAGAGGAAGGAGAAGAGGAAGAAGACGTCAAATTGATCAGCATATTCATTGAAAATGAAGTAATAGATTATTTCTAGTTTCTTCAGTGATAATGATTTCCTTAATTTTTACAATAGATATGATATGTAATTAATCAAGATTTGTAAGTATCTTTTGTTGGTTTGTTTGTTTGTTTTTTATCGTTAAAACTTTAATAAACACAATGTAATGAAATGGTAATGAGTATTAAAAATAAATAAAAAAATAATAAATTACAACTTTAACTTAATCAGCGTCGATTTAAACAAACGATGATACAAATGGTGTACTGTTTATTAATTTTTTTATAATAGAATTTTCTAGATATTCCTTATTTCAAATCTCTAACTTACAATAAACGAATGTAGGATATTGAAAATAAATTTCATAAATAATATAACATTCAGTCAGTTCATATAAATAAACTATAATTTAGTATGAGGTGAATAAAATAGACTGAATGTTTAATAAAGTTCAATTAAACTATGGACTTGATCATTTGATTTATTTATTAGAAAAAATATTAATTTTTGAATTATTATTATTCTTTTTACTAAAACTTATGTTTATGTGAATATGTGTAAATAAAACAACCAATCTGTGTTTAGAATTTATCTCACATATAATTGTGATTGTATAATGTATAATGGTCCAGGGTTTCCTATCGATTACTTCCAACCACCATCTAATCTCAATATATAGTGCCCGCAATGTCGAGTCACCTAGACTGGTGGTCACACTGCAACATAGTCGATAGTATTCAATCTGCACTAAGGACTTGACACATATGACATTGATCACCACCCAGTGATCAATCAATTGTGATTACATCTCAGTCCTACAGGAGATCGGTCGCGACTCGGATAGCTCAGTGGTAACGTCTCTCACTGTGAAGCTGGGTAACACGAGATCAAATCCGCCAGGGAGCACCAGTTCCCTCAAGATTACAGGTACCATGTAGCACGAAACCCGGGTCCAGGGTTTCCTGTCGACTACCTCCAACCATCATCTAAGTTGGTTTTATTTAAAGCTTAGTAAGTTTTAATATCATCATTATGACTTTGTTATTTTATTGAAATTAATTATATTTATTGTGTTATAAATTCTACTAACATTCAATAGTATTTTGTTATTATTTTTTTAATCCTGAAACTGAATTCTTTAAAGTCAATCATTCAATTTGAAATTACTGCTTTGTATTTTTTGTTGATTAATATGCACAATTAAACGTAAGTCGTTTTTATTTTGTCATCAAATGAAAAGGTTTATAGAACACCTTTTTTAACCATGTTACTTACTTACTCACTTACGCCTGTAACTCCCAATGGAGCAACGGTCACCGACTAGCATTCTCCAACCTACTGTGTCCTGCGCATTCCTTTCTAGTTCTATTATTATTCATTCATCTCAAGTCTGTCTCCATTTCTCGGCGTCATATGTTCTCTCGTCTTCCTCTTCTCATTCGGCTTTGATGATGCCTTATGACTCAGTTGGGTGCTTTTCTCAATGTTTATCCTATCCACTTCCGACGCTTATCTTAATTTCTTCCCCCACTGGAGTCTGGTTTGTTTTATCCCACAGTAGGTTGTTGCTGATAGTGTCGGACCCGAAGTATTTTGCGTAGACAACTGTTAATAAACATTTGTCTTCTGGATGATGGCTTTCGTAGTTCTTCAAGTTTTTGTCCCCTACAGTAGAACTGTCTTGACATTTGTATAGAAAATTCCCACCTTAGTGTTGGTTGACAGTTGTTTTGAGTTCCAGATGTGCTTCAGTTGTAAACATGCTGCTCTTGCTTTGCCGATCCGCGCCTTCACATCTGTATCAGATCCACCGTGTTCATCAATGATGCTGCCCAGATATCTAAAGGATTATACATCTTCCAAATCTTCTCCGTCGAGTTTGGTTTGATTGGTGCATGTTGTGTTGTATCGGAGAATCTTGCTTTTCCCTTTGCGTATATTGAGACCTACTGCTGCTGAGGCTGTTGCTGCACTGGTCGTCTTCGTTTGCATTTGTTGTTGTGTGTGTGATAGAAAAGCCACATCATCTGCGAAGTATAGATCGTCCAGCTGCATCTTAGCTGTCCACTGTATCCCATGCTTCCCCCCAGATGTTGATGTCTTCATGATTCAGTCGATCACCAGGAGGAAGACTTTTACCCATGTATTGCAAGCTTTTTCATTGGGATGATTCAACAACTTGAATAGTGTATGGCATACTGATAAAGTTATTTGCCCTAGCTCGTAATGAAAATTTATACTGTTAGATTCCTTTGACAATATAGTATTTACCTATCTTTGTCGTCCATCATTAACGTTAAATGACGTCTGAGTAATACGTTTTCTCAATATGTCAATTAGGGAGATCACTCCAAAATTTTAGTGAACACCTAGTCTAGCCTTCGCATATTTTTTCACTTATTGCCGGGATAAATCTGTAAATTACAATATATATCCTATAAAATAACCACTTCATCATTACTTACCAAAAGAAGATACCTGAAAGTTACTAAAACTTATTACTACTATCACGGAAATAAAAGTTAACTGTGAAATCAATGATTTACAATTTACGTGTTAAGGGAAGGATGGCTATTTCTTCACAATGTTATTTTATTAGTTCTAGAGATGGTGTACTTGGTCCTTTTAGGAAGCTATGGATTTCTCAAGTTGATTCTCCTGAATGTATTTCAGTTCAGTGATAAAATGTACTGATGTTGATTATAGGCATACATGTTTAAATATATTATTGAGGAGTCCTGACAGTGAGGAAATAGATGTTGTACATGGTTTACCGATGTTTCATTACTAAACCTAAAAACAGACATCACTGAACTCATACAGAACTAAAAAATCACTTGATAGCATTCACACTACACTGGAGTTTTATCAATAAACTATGTCGAGTAATTTATTTGAAATATTTGTCCAATACGAGATACTCGATTTGGTTGTGTTGTATGTAATAATTATTTTTAAACATGAGTTGTCAAAACATTTAACAAAAACGAATACTGAATTGTGGGTCGAAGATGGGTTGTGGCTAGCAGTAGAATCCAGAACTTGAGTTTCGTCCTCTTTGAGACTCGCCAGCTGGATGTACTCGTGTCTGAGTTTATGTTCACTTCGGGACCCGGACCCAGTCCCGTCCGTCTCAAACTCCATCGCGTTATCCACTTTCCTATTGAGTCCTCACAGGCACTAGCTAGTGCAATGGGGTAAAGTTTTAACTCATTTTGTATTGTTTGCTTGAACCTTATCATTGATGTTTAGGGTCGGTTTGTTCATGACATAACCGATCGTAGTTGATCATTAAACATATATGTAACACATGATAGTAAGACTATTTGGTACCTTGAGGGGTTATTCTCTAAGTTGGTATAAGATTATTTTGAAATGCCAAATCGATAACCGGATTTATTCCGTAAATATTGAGCTAAGGGATATTTCTATTGTATTTTCACGATGTTCATAATTAATTCTTTCAAAATTAACAACTGTATTTGTAGTGAATCTTACTATTCTTGTTTGTGGAAATAGTTAAATTCGTAGTTATTATCTAAGGATTTCAGGAAGTGAGCTTCACAATTCTATACTGTTTATTATTTGAAATGAAATCACCATTTCCGAACCTTGAAGCTACATACTCAATGATTATTCATTGAAATTACTTTCGAAAGGTGAGTTTCTAGGGATTTAGTGTGAAACAACGAATGGATATTCAACTCGATTTGGAAATGGAAACGCGAAATTTCAGAAATTCTTTTTAACGAGTTACAGTCTAAGATATGACAGATTTAGTAACTGAACAGCCTGAAAATCGATTACAGGAGTATGAAACAAATGAGAAGCACCGTCAGAATAATTACTGTTCAAAAATATTTATAAGGATCTTTAGAAGTGAGTGTAGTACAATAACTGTATTCAGTCAACGTAAGAGAAAGACTGCAATCATTAGACTAGTTTATAGAACGGATAAGAACGTACTATTATCAAGACATTGTATAATCCATGCAAGAAGTAACTTGATACCAAAACTAGTAATTGTATATAGGTTTCAGTGTACGATACAAGGAGATAATCAAACGTAACTTAATGCTCATTCAAAGGTTTCTGTACCATGCTTTGCTACACACCGAGAGTGTGAAGAGTAATTAAAGATTTCAGATCCCAATACAGGTTTACATAGGGCAATCTTAGTTTTGTCTTCAAAAATATATGGCTTCAGTTCTCAGCTTACTAACTTCCGGCTGAATTCTATATGTATATCGATATTTGTACTTCTAAGTGCAAATGCAAAATGCACCCGAAATCGGGAATATTATACACTGATGGAAAATTTGTTTTTGCAGTATAACCTATTGATTGTATACACAATTTATTGATTGGTTAAATCAAATTTTTACTAAACTATTTTATCATAAAATCAATCCTCAACTTTATCTCATGTATTAAAAGTGCTCAATCCAAAATTTAAATTCAATCAGTTAAAACTCAAAATAACAGTTTTTGACTTTAAAGTAAACAATATTCAAAATATTAGGGAATTTCATCTATTTCTTACACTTCCAACTCATATTAACGGTCTCGTATATTCTTACATCTGATTATAAAGAATCGACTTGATGCCTAAACCATTAGATTTACAGAAAATGGTATTGGGGTTTGAACTCTGACTTAAGTGCATTGGACTAGGGAGATGGGCTGTGTTGCTAACCTTGGTACCTAAAAGTGTTACTAAAAGCTGAATATATTGCACAGAGTATACGATTAGAAAATGTCGACACGGCCGGTTTTTATATCAACCAGTTTAGTAAAAAACCGAACTAGTAATATGTGATAGTTCTACTCACTGGTTTGAGTAAAACCATCCTATATAAGTTATTTAACCGTCGATTAACCCTTCTACTCAACATCATAATTGTTATTTCATTTGTCTTTTTTGTTACAGTATACTAGAATGATTTTCGGTAAAAAAAATGCTTAAGTTCATAATTGTCTACACATTGCTGTATATATGAATAAACAGAAGTTTTCTGTCACGAATATTATATAAGCCATTTACTAAATTCGGTTAATTATTTAGGGATATAGTGTTAATCGCCATATTCCCCCTCCCTTGATTCAGAGTTTATTGCACAAAATCTCATTCTCCCATTCTGGTCATATTATTTTTTTAACTGATGTTTTAGAGTATAGAAAGATATTAAGAGAGAATCATTTTAGTCAATGTATATGAAATAGGTCATTACGACAGATACACTTAATCAATATATTAAATTGACAACAGATCGAAAACGAAAGAATATACTCTAAAACAAAGAATTTTCAAATTAAGGAATTAATTCACCAAATATCGGATAGTGGTTGAAGGTATTTGATAAAGATCCAATGACTAGTAATGATAATTTAGTTTTAATCTGTTAAAGGTTTATAGATAGCTGAATAATTTCATGCTTTGAACTTTACAAAAAATCAGTCATATGTCCTAGGGCGTACGTATGACCACGAGACCTATAAAGTCCATTTTAATCAGAATGCTTATGATAATCCGTTTCAATATATTATTTAAATGTTTGGAAATGGACAAAGACAAGCTTATTACTCAGAATAACTAAAATTACAGAATACTAATCATATTTTCATTAAATAAACTGTAGTGTCGGTTATTATGTTAAGCCCATATACCTTATTCTAGCTTTCGGACAGCTCATTCTACTCATTCTACTTGAGTCACATTTTGACCTTGTTGATCATTCGCGCGCGTAGGTGTGTGTACATTTCTTATCCCATTACTCACTACATGTCTGTATCTTACTTTTGTGTAACCATAATTATTGATTAACGCTTGGTTAAATGGAAGTTGGGTTACCAACCTTTTCCCCTTCGCGTCGTTTTTCTTCTCTCTATTCCATTCACTTCACATACAAAATATATGTATTCAAAAGTCCATTCTCGTTATTTGACTTATCTAAATCCGTTATTGACTAACGCGATTAAAGTCGATGATTAGATACAAGGATAAGCAACATATATATTCCAATAACAAACACTCATACGATCTAATTGAAGTCAGATCAACGGGCCACTAAAAAAGTGTCAATTTCAAATTCCACACATTAAATCTTCTGTTTAGGGTGTTATCAAAACAGACAAAAACCAATTTCTTTCTAATTATTATTATCTATCCAAGTCTATATCAAAGAACAAACTAAAGATGATTTTATTTTTTTTTATTTTTTTAAAAAAAAAACAGTCATATCAACATCTCTATTATCAGTGGTCAATGTCATTATTTTTACACTACCACCCACGCAAACACTTTCATCGAAATATTAACCAATCATATTTTGTCATTTTTGAAAGAAAAAAAAGATATATAAACAAAATTAAACTATCACAAATAGTTTAAATTCAATTATTCAATCTTTATTATTCATTAAATAGAATGTACAAATCATTAAATGTTACATTTGTGATCATTTACTTGTAAAAGAATAATTTAAATAATTATTATTAATTTATTAAATAGTTGACTAAATTTCTTTCTTCTTTGTTTTAATTCATCATGTATAAATGTATCATAAAACTATTTTCAAATTTATCACATTTCATTCAATTCAAACAAATTTTGTTACAATTTATAAGTGTTACTTGTTTTGTTATGATGTTTTTATTTGGTGCAACATCATGTTGGTTATTATGGATTTATTTAATTATTAAATTTATTAAATTATTCTATATTATTGGTAATAAATTAATTAGTAATGATAATATTATACAAAATTCATATGAATTTATACATAATGAACAATTATATGATTTATTTCGACAATTTATTACATTATTTTTAATTATTATTGTATATTGGATATATTGGTATATTGATAAAGGTTCCGAAGAGAAAGGTAGTCATCCAAAATATTTTATTAGAAATTTAATAATATGGAAATATATAGCATGTTATTTTCCAATTAAACTTGTTCTTAGTGAATTATATCAAAATAATAATAATAATAATAAAGATAATGAACCCACATCTGAATTAACTACACTCAATGTTCTTACCAATCAAAATTGTCATAATGATGAAGATCAAAATTCAAATGATAAAATGTATATTGAAACAATTATAAATAAACAAGATTATTCTACAAATGAAAATAATTTAACATGTATAAAAGAATTATTTCCTACAAGTAATAATTATCTAGTTGGTTATCATCCACATGGAATATTTGGTATTGGTGCTTTTATTAATTTCTTAACTGAAGCTAATCAATTCTCTGAAAAATTTCCAGGAATTACACCATGGTTAACAACATTGGAGATTAATTTCAAAGCGCCATTTTATCGTGATTTTCTATTATCTTTTAGTAAGTTTATACTGAATAATTGTTTATTGACTTGTTTCTTTTTTTAACATGATAAAAATGAAATATCACAAGGTTATACAATTTATTTGACAAACCCATTGAAACGCAGCTCCAAAATAAAGCCCTTTTGTAGTAAATAGTATCAAAGATTATGGGTAATAAATGTCTTTTTGTTAAAAAAGGAAGGTATAGTATTAAAATATTGAATTATAAGCAGAGATAGATGATGGCTAGCGGTGGAATCCTGGACACGTATTTCGTCCCATTTAGGACTCGCCAGTCACCATTCGTCGCTGATTATAATGCTTGTGACATAAGGCAATATCGAGGCGGTCAGTACAGGATGAACTTATGCAGTTCTAAACATCAATGGGAAGATTCAAGTAACCAATACAAGATGAGTTAAAATATTGAATATTATATTTATGACAGTGTTCAAATACTAGTATGAGAAAATCCTGTTAAACTCCAGTCAATTGGCAAGATGAAGAATATCAAAACCACAGTGAATGGCCACAAACTAGGAAGTGTTAATATATATTAATAAGCCTGTAACTGATTGATGAACAATTCACTAATCAAACATCATAGGTACAAATCAGTTTTGTAGACGTCAGTTTATTCCTGTTTCACCGCTAAATCTAATGTTGCTGAGTACAATACTGTGTAAATTCTCGGATAAGTATAGTTGAAAATTTTCATCCTAGAACGAAAAATTGAGTAGTATTGCCTAGTTTCCAATGGTTTACAAGCTGATTTCAGTCTCTCATAATAATTACCTTAAAATTGAAGAAATTCATGAGTGAAGTTTAAAAAAGAAACACATATACTAGTGACGAAGACATTCCATTATCTCTTTGATTGTATATTTAAATGTAACATGGTTAGGAACAATTCAGATGAAGTTCAACATTAGGTTTGTCTAGCTTAACGTAAAAACCGTAATTTACAGAGTTATCAAACAAATTAGATCATATAAATAAAATACAACATTACTTGATAACAACGGTGAGAATGACCAATGAGGTTTACATCTAAAGTTAATGTAACAATCTCACTATTGATTACAATACTCAAAATATATAAAATGTTAGTTTTAAATATCTATCAAACTTCTTTAACGGTTTCCGATGATTGAATCATGCTAAAACATCTTCTATGTCATTAAGAAATATCGTTTTACATAGAATTAATTCTCTTAAATGATAATCTTTTCTTTTCCGTGAAAAGAAACTTCAGACAGTCAAAAAAGTTGTTTAGATTTGAAAGTTTAGTTAGATAAACAAACGGATTTAATCAATACACCATAATAAAAGTAATAATACTTTCCATTTTGTTAATATTTATCAACTACTTACAAAAGCTAATATCATTTTTGATATAGGTAGCTGAATTGTTTAATAAAGCAGTTTGAACATGTTACTAAAACCTTTTTTTTACTGAATTCACATTGTATTTCTTAGTTCAAAGCCATTGTTTTTACAGCAAGGTAGATTATTATTATTGTCATTACTATCATTAAACAAATTCATAAGTGTGGAAGGAACGTGACTAAATATTTAGATTACAAAAGAACTAGTCATATTGTTTTATTTTTAACCAGTGAAATTAAAGAAGTTAAAAGAAATATAACACTCAATATTGTATCTCCTAAGAATGTTGTTTTCTTAATTCAAGCTATTGCATTAAAGTAATTCATGAGAACATATCAACTGAATTCACATAATGATAATAAAATGAGTATAATAATAAATGAGACATTAAAAATTATAATACTGAAACCATATAACATGACTTTGATATAATTGAATAACTTTGAGAATACGGGGACAAAATTTATGTGAACATAGATACATATGCTGAACAATTATGAGTATAGCTCTAAATTAGTTTAGTCACAAACTTAAAATAGGGACTATCTAAGTATAACAAATACTGAAGATTATGAAGTTATGTCAATTTTGTTATCTTGCATTATACTCGAAAGCAAACAATAGTAGTTCTTAGTCGATAAGAATTTAGTAGACATTTTTATTATTCCCCATCATAATTTTGTCTTATTTACATATATTAGGTTAAGTCTAAGGCCTTATTCATTAAGTTCTACCTCACATACTTGATTCATATTAATATCAGTAAGAGATCCGCCCCTGACTATAGTTTACTGAGAAGTCACTGAAGATAATACAACAGAATTTCTACCATTAACCTTTTTTTACTGAAGTTACATATCACGTAATGGTTTAGCTGCAGCCAACAAGGAATCATCAAAATAGTGTGGATAAATATCTGGCAAGAATTAATTTATATTACAGTTCAAATGGTATCTATTTTGTTCACTTTAGCTTCAATTCATTGTTGTTGTTTTTTTTATTTATTTTCGCTTTATATGCTAACGTGAAATGTAATGAATAGAGTTAATTCACAGTTTTATAAAATGTTATGTTAATGTCTTTGTTTATCAACTATTTGTAGTGTTAGGTATTTCAATCTTCAGTTAATATAATCTAATGTAATTAAAATCGATAATGATATAATCACCTATATATCTGGTGAAATTATATTAATGAACTTACATTGTCTACCAATTAATGAATATAAAGATTTCACATACAATAACCTGATGTCAAAAAAGGTTTACATATACATGAGAAATATAGAATAGAATTATAAATGTTTATGTTATTTTTAAAAACAATTCGATGAAAGTTAATCATATTTAATGATAAACATGTTGTATATGTTAATGTGCAAATAGTCGTGGTTTTCTCACTTATTCAAAGTCTAAAACTAACAAAATCTTGTTAACATAACAGAGACTGAATTTGGTGAAATAACCATTGAAAACCAGAAAGTACTAGACAGCTATTTCATCCTAGATTAAAACTCCTCTGTAGTGTATCTATCGCTTTACATAGAAATAATTTCAGGATTTTTAAATCTAACAGTGTCTATGTTACCTTCAGGTTATTAAATTCGAATTTAATGTTACGCATATCCTACTTGAATTACTCTTCAATATACTAATAACATCAATGTTTCATATTTTTAATGATCGAAACCATGAGTTAAGAAATCTATTATGTTCTTGCTAAACATTTATCACTAGAATTACATAAGAATTCCGTAGGAAATTAGGGGCATGTAATCTATGATAACATTTACTTAATAATTCATCTGGCATTATTCCCGATAATTAACTATCTACAGAGCTTTATGACGTCAAACAAGACGCCAAAATTATTATCAGTAATACTAAAACAAAACAAAAAGTTTAAAATCATTATTTTAGTATGCAGTTCACATAAATCTTTTATACATCAAAGTGTAGCTATACTAAACTTTAAAAACTATTTACACTTTCATAGAAATAAGGTCGTTCTTAAGAAAAAATTCTGTTCATTTGTATTTGTACATCAATTACCATAAGTAATTTATATGCTATATAATGATATACATATGTCTAAAGACAATCCTCCCTCTATGAACAAATTCATTAGATAAGTGTAGTAATGGAGATTACTTGATTAATTAAGTTTTAATGGCTCAATTACCTTCAGGATTGAATATTTTTAGAAGTGATCAAGTATACTATTAATAGAAAATCAATAAACTATAGGTAGTTTTATCGCTTATACCAAGTTACTTGTTTTAATGATTAGTTTACATTAAATTAAAGGTGAGAATGTCATTAGAATAATCCTTCATACAGTAATTTGTTAATTGTAAACGATAGATTATGACTAATAATAATAATAATAATAGTAATAAATGTTTCAAAGTAAAATCATGAACTATAAAAAGGTCATAATACTAGATTACGTAATACAAATAATAAGACTAGACTTGAATAAGTTAGTAACGAATTATAATGTGAGTGTAGTAAGATTATTAAAATGTTTTTGTTACAACTAAGGGTCATAGAAGTGTAAAAAATGAATAAATAAAGTGATATCATGAGCAGTTTTGAATAAAATAGTGAAAATATGAAGCATAAGTAAAGGGGGAAATGTAGTAATAATAATAATTAAGGCCAAAGTAACGATAACGATGGGATGCACTTCTTTTGTAGGCATAGTTCTGGCTTGAGCTCATGGATGATAAAAGCTTCGGATATTTTTAGAAGTTGGATACGAAAAAATCCATGTGCATCTACCAGTTCACCTGCTCTTGTGGAGCAAGGTACATTGGCCGTAGCCAGCGCTCACTTTCATTGCGGATGCAAGAACATGTCCGAGTGTGATTCTACAAGGGTAAGAGGAAAGCAGTTAGGAGTTCCATACTTGAACATCTAATTGACTGTAATTATTCTACTGATCGACAGTCTGATTTTAAGGTTGTATAAACAATTCGACCAAATCTACCTAGATTTCTTCGTATACAACTCCTAAAAAAAGACGAAGCTCTTAGCATCCACGAGCTCAAGCCTGAACTATGCGTACAAAAGAGGTACATCCTATCGTTATCGTTAACCTGACCTTTATTATTAATATTACTACATTTCTCGCTTTACTTATGTCTCATATTCTCACTATTTTATTCAAAATTGCTCATGATATCACTTTATTTATTCATTTTTACACTTATATGACCCTTAATTGTTGTAACAAACATTTTGATCACCTTACTACACTCACATTATAATTCGTTACTAACATATTAAGTCTAGTATATATACACATATATGGAGATTTTTTCTAAAGTACTAGTTCCGTGAGGAAATGTGAACAAGGAACAACCAAGATGATGTAATAGAAAGATTATAATACTGGATTACGTAATACAAATATATATATTCATCTGTCAGTATAAAAGGGTTATTATTAATTCGAAACAATACATAAACAAATGATAATCAACAAAATGAAATGACGAAATACGACAGCTCAAAGTTTATCTGTCCAATGAAATTTAGTAGTCGATAAATTCTCAGTAGTCAAAAACTATAGAGTAAATTCATTTATGATTGACAGCATTTCTATCATGACCATCTTCAGTTTTAAGAAAATTTACCCACAGTGTATGTTATTTATCCGAATAATTTATACATCTGGCTTGTACCAATATGTTCATTGCATAATATGTAACTTCACTAGTCACATACTACTCAATAGAGTCCATAAAAATGAAATGAAACTAGCTGTGATAAATTAAATGATTGTATACTTCTTCGATTTATTTTGACAATGTTAATGTAGGACGTGATTTGGAGAACTTTAGAACTTAAGTACATTATTTTCGTTTAAAGTAAGTAATCTAGGCGATATATGATTCAGCCAAGTTATAATTGTCAGCAAACTGTATGTGAAGTTATAAGCTCATTATAAAAAGATATAACAATAACTATCGCATAAACGTGAAGTTCTGTATTCAAACTGAAAAGGAATTGTAGAGCATAAAATGATTGTTAAGTAGTTAGCTTAAATCATCAAGTAACAGAACAAACATGCAATATTTATGTTCATCATTGGTTACAATCGACATATCAAAGGAATCAAGAATGGTGACTAGATTCGGACAAAACGCTGATTAATAGGATTCATATACTTGTTACTACGTTTGTTCGGCTCTTATGTTATCAGATTAAGCATCCAGTCGCATTTTGCCAAAATAAACTGTTCAATGTGCATTAATCAACAATATATAAAACGTATTTATATCACAGTATTCGATATCAAGTGACAGTACAGTATCGGATAGAACATATGGATACATTTATCGTATAAACTTGATCTAAAAGTTCACATTTGGTGAATAAACATTAGAGTTATTATTGATTATTTATAGTTCGATTAATATTTCTCTAAATCTACAAATTATAAAGAGATTTCGGTTTTTCTTAGACGTTATTAGCAATAATACAATATTAGAATGGAAATAATAATCAATGTATTATTCAATAAAAAAACACTAATGTTTTAGAAGATGCGCACACTTAATATGCATATACTGATGTTACCCCTGAAGCTCAAACTAAAGTGATTGATGTAAATTTCAAAGTATCAGTGAAGAGTAGATGATAGTTGGTTATAAATTATTTAAATATTTATGCTTTGTGGATACAGCAGTCAGCTAAATAACAAGATCGAGGTCGACAGGACAATCTGTCAGTCATTTGTTGAGAAATACGAACAATTCACCTCTACCTGAAATTTATGCTGCTTTTGTTCAGAATAATGAAAGCTCCACCACACCACCCAGCCCAGGGAATAAAACTCCCCCTAAAAGATAACTATCCTTCATCCCATCTATGCAGATTGTTAGAACTTTCTCAAATTGTAGCAGTTTTGCCATCAATCTATGTGACAGATACTTACTGAAGAATATTTTTTATACCGACGTTAACGTGATATCTTTTCCTCATTGAGTATGTTTCGGAAACTGCATTCTTACACAATCAATTTCAGCTGTCTAGGCGTCCTCATCATATTTATAGTAAACTCTTACAACATTTGCTTCCATAGACACGACTTTATTGTCTCTGTTTTGAAACTTCATCCTTAAACTTTACTTAATTGAAAAAGATAATCAGACCAAACTTTTACGCTACATAAATTTCAATTGTTGACATTATAACCAATATATTTTTGTCTGTTTTATGAAAACGTACCCTCAAACTTCAATGAAAGTTTATGTACAGAGCTTTACTGTCATGAAAACATCAGTACAATATCCATACATAGAACGCGCTTTGAGAATCATACGAAAGCATTCGCTAAACTTAGATATTATCGCTTACAATAAGTAATTTCTCTGGTTGAGAACATAAAAACCCAATAACTTTTTTCATATTTAGGATACTACCTTCAATTATTAAGTAGTAAAACTTATTCACCGTAATTTGGCCGAAGGAATTGGTCATTGCTGTGAGATGAATGTAGATTAAATGTCCTTCGTTACCTTTATTTATTCAAGAGTTGAACCACAGGAATCCGAAGAAAGTTCAAATAAAATATCATTCATTTTTGTTCTACGGTTGAGAGTTATATCGGATAAAGTTAAATGGTTTATTTATCTCTTCCATTTCCCTAGTTGCCAAGACTTCAAAGTGGACTTTATTTTGTACTGAATTTCCCCATGATGGATGTTATTTAGTTAAATAAACCAATATACTGACAGATTTATTTTTTTAATTATTCAGATCTTGTAGCAGCAACATACAAAGGACTTTCATATCTCCTTGATTCTCAACAATGTGGAAATACAGGAAATTTCGTTGTCGTCGTTTTGGGTGGTGCTCCTGAAGCATTAGATTCACGTCCTGGGAAATATGTCTTCCACACTAACCGACGATATGGCTTTTTTAAGTTAGCATTAATGACTGGGTAAGAATAATATCGAATCATTTTCTTAAATTTACAAATTGCCGATATTGAACGTAATTCGAATATGTTACTTGAGGATCTAGAAGGATATGGGTTATAACATAATTGTAGTATTTACGAGAGCTTTAAAATTGGGCAAATGAAAATTAGTCAATCCAGTAGTATTTTCTGATTCAGGTGAAATAACAGTTCAATGAATAAGGACAGTATATTTCCATAAGAAAAAGCAAACAACTTATACCTCCTACAGCCATCTAACATCAAAATGTATCAAAAGAGTCACTTAGTTTAGTGTAACTTGACTGACGGAATCCACTTACTACAAGGGATAAGACTTGACATCGGTGATCGAGTAATAAGTCAAAAGGGAAATGATTTTAGAAACAATTTCAATTAGACTTTGATGCAAAACAGCCACTAGTTTCACTAGGACTAATGTAACGGAAGCAAAAGAGATGGAAAAGGCAACGGCTGTAGGTAATACCAGACAGTTTCTCAGACTAATAGAAAAAAATGGAATTAAGAAGTCAAGTGTAAGTGAAACAGTCTCAGAAAAAGACGGCAACCTTATCTGCTCTCAGCCCAGACGCTTAGAACGATGGGCGGAACACTTCAAGGAACAGTTCAGTTAGCCTTCAGCTACTATTCAACTACTCAACATTCCCAAACAACCTGAACGGAACATTGAAGTAGATCCCTCGACTTCAGCTGCCAACTTATGTCACCTATGGCGAAGGCGAGATATCCGTCTATCAATTAAGGGACAGCACAGCAGTTTTTTTCTGCTCTAATTTATGGCTGCGAAACATGGCCATTAAGAGTAGAAGATACTCATAAGTTGCTAGTAATTGATCACATATATCTTAGAAATATTGCCAGCAGCTGCTGGGATCACCGGGTAAGTAATAGTGAGGTTGGACGCAGGGTATTAGGGAATGATGGTAAATCAGTTGATGAGGTTGTGAATCTTCATCGACTGAGATGGTTGGGCTACGTGTTGCGTATACCTGAACACCGATTACCACGACGCGCAATACTAACTGATGTTGGGATGGTTGGAGGAAAGTTAGGGGCGGCCAAACCAAAACAAGGCATCAGTCCTTGAAGTCATTAACTTCTAATCTGAGCTGTGTTGGTAGATGCAGACTACTTAGTTGGGGTCCTCGTGGCTACCGTAACCAATGGTTGGAGACTCTTGGTGACATGGCTCAGAATCGATCACAATGGCGTCGGTGTGTACTCTCTTCGTCCTCCCTTAAACCGTGAGATAAGAATCGCTTTATATATTTCTTTCTACGAACTAATTCTTTCTTCCTGCATTATAACCTTATACGCATTCCTTTATACATTACTACCACTGAAGTGACTACTTTTATGAATTTTATGTTCATCTTATTGTGCTAATTATGTATGGCAACTTGGACCGATGCATATATGTGCCTGATCCTACGTTGTAGCTGAGTGACTGACTAAGGATTAACGTAAAAGGATATTGGAGACAATTAAAATTCAATTAATGGAAAGACCTGCTAATTATTTTCTTATTCTGAAAGCCCCAAACTGTTTGTTAACTAATTAAATGTCTTATTCTTATGGTTTGGTTTAGGTCGCACTTGGTACCGTGTGTATCGTTTGGTGAACCGAATATGTTTAAACAAGTGTACAATCCTGAAGGGAGTTGCATAAGACACTTCCAAAATCGATTTACGAAAATGGCAACATTCTCACCTCCTTTCTTTTATGCTCGATTTTTTCTGCCTTATCGGACAGATGTAAACACAGTCAGTAAGTTAAACAAATATATCATTTAAAATATTTACAACGTCATGAAACAATAGAATACAGTGGTGACAATAAATTTTACTTAATATCATTAGTAATCTATTCTAATTATCTCAGATAAATTGAACAACCAGGTAGCTTAATGAGGATAATCTCAATACAGTGAAAATCACACCAACAGATGTGCCCAATGGTTTAATTGGACGCTCTAAAATAGGACAGCTGCAAATGCTAACACAACCCGTTGTCCAGTCTCTAAACACTGTCATTTCAAAGTCGCTAAGATCTGATTAAGGACTGGAAACAACAGCCAGCGATACTTATCACAATTCACATGTCTTTTTCACTTCAGACCACAAGCTTCCAAAATGATTGGTTGGCTATCTTACAATTTAATTTGAGTCTCGAAATTACACTCAGAATTCTCATATATTTCCAATAATACGAAACTAGAAGGAAAACTACTGTCTAGCTGGTATAATGGCTATTGTTTGTTGTGGAAAGTCAAGTATCTAAAACGCACTTATTATCTGTACAATCAGATTTTGCCAATGTACCTTAACCGTTGACAAGAAAACCATGTAAAGTACATTCACTGGAATGTAGCAAAACTGGAATTCCGTTAGCAATCTGATAGATTGTAAAACTACTAGTCTTCAATAGAACACCAGATTAGTAACCCAGAAGACGTTAAAATCCACTTATAGTGCAAATACAGTCTATAAACTAAGGTAATCAAAATTATTGTTTAGGTTCTTTTCTCTTAACTACAAAAATAGTCATTCCGATTTTCTAAATGTCTTTTTTTTCTACCGAAATAAAAAAGTTGGACGACCAATACCGTGTGAAAAAAACCCAAATCCAACAAGAGAACAAATATCAGTGCTGAAAGAATTATACCTAGAAGAACTTCGAAATCTTTACAATAAATATAAACCAATCTATGATCCAGATGGAGACCTAATGTTTGTTTGAAGCTGAGATAATCGTATTTTCACAGTTTATTCTATTAGCCAAAAAAACAATAAACATTACTATATAGGACTTTATGATTCTGATTATTTTATTTATGACAATTATTTTTCAGTTTCAAGATGTACATTCATTTGAAAACATTTTTCGCCTTTTAATTTCTTCTATGATCTAATGAGGGAAAACAACTCTCGATATATTTCAATACTGATCCGTAGTACAAGACTACGGAAATACGACGGCTTATCAAATCAATCGGTATGATAATGTATCGTAGTCTATGTTAAAAGTCTTCGCAACCTTGTCTTTGTCTAAAATGATAGACTATGTAGGTCTGAGGTTCTAGAGATAAGTCTAGATTACTCTTAAATTCTAGGAACAATAAGGGTGTATATCAAGTTTGTATTTACTAACTTAAGGAAGAAGGAACAAAATGCTTCCTCTATTTTGGCAGAATAGTGAAAAGAAATTTATAACCGTTCACAATATTGAGAAACTTTAATGATTCAATACAGGTCACTTCTATTAAGCATTAACATGGTAAAGTATACCTGAAAATTTAGCTTATATGAACAAAATAAGGTATGGAATTAGAGTGCATCATACAGAGTTAGTACATCTATTAATGTCTAAGAAACGCTTTAAAGAGAATTCAATATATAAAGTTTACGCTATTCACTTCGACCAACAATCAACATATGGAATAAAGACAAATTGTGGAGTCCCGCTGCCTGTGCATTTAACAGCTCAACGGCTTCGTGGTTAGTTGTATTGTACAGACAATTAGGCAAGTTCACTGTACCTCGAATACCACCCTTTAAAGTTAAGTGAGGAACAGCCATCCAATACCAAACAGATACGACTCACATTTTTAATTTCCATAATTACACAATCACTAATGAATTTGTATTTATATCCATCTTAAGATTACTCCACTACTATTTCTATAGATAAAATATTGTGTTAATGGATTCATCGTTTGATTGGTACTTATTTTATAATGCATGGATAAAGCCTATGTGTAGAACCATGGTGGGGAATTAAAACAATTTCTTGTCAAATCGGCACTTATAATGCCTGAATTGTAATAATTACTTTATTGAAATATAGACTTACGCACTGAGAAATAGTTTGACGACACTAAGATAGGAATACGAACGATTTACAACGTTAGACCTGTATGAGAATGATAATCTAAGCAATGGGTATTAAGAAAAAATATTGGAATGAACCTTGATATGTTAACAAACAGTACAAAACTAGGCCTTAATGATTTAGATTGTTAGTAATATTTATGTTAAACAAGTCAAACCCTTAAATTGTGGAATTGTTGAGATATGCAGTACTAGACTGACTAGAAGAACCCTTAATTCGAAACATATTTTAACGAATTACTTTTTCGGTTGGATGAAAATGAGGCGCTCTTTTTAAGAAATACTCGTGTTACCGTGACCGACTATTTAGAAACGAACTCATAAAACTATCAATGAAATAAATGGCAAGGCTTTTAACCAAGATCACAGGAGGAATAATTATACAGATTGAAACAAATATTAACATACACCATTTTGTTTATTATGTTATACAAGTTATTTAGATCTTCATATCGTTTAAATTTTTTGAGATTTAGGAGCTCCGGATGAACTTGTTTTTTGTACAGCTTGTGTTAACATCAATTTGCCTATTGTTTGACCTGCCATCTGAGCAAGACTGTTGCAGTAGAAATCAAGCTGAGCTGAAACCAACGCAGTGTCCAGACGGATTGGAGCCAACTCCCGATTACGTGTTTCAGTTGCAGTCTTGTGCAAAACAAAGAGGAAATTTTTAAAGCAACTAGTCCATTTGATAAATTTCGATAATCTAATAAGAAGACGAAGATTATCAGAACTATGTGATATATTAACGCAATACATTTCGAACAATCTGATCACACATATACTTGTTAAGAACATTTATATATAAAAATAAAAGGTCAACTACACTGGAAATGGGGTAAGAGGAGACAAGGATAATAATAATAATAATAATAATAATAATAATAATAATAATAATAATAATAATAATAATAATAATAATAATAATAATAATAATAATAATAATAATAATAATAATAATAATAATAATAATAATAATAATAATAATAATAATAATAATAATAATAATAATAATAATAATAATAATAATAATAATAATAATAATAATAATAATAATAATAATAATAATAATAATAATAATAATAATAATAATAATAATAATAATAATAATAATAATAATAATAATAATAATAATAATAATAATAATAATAATAATAATAATAATAATAATAATAATAATAATAATAATAATAATAATAATAATAATAATAATAATAATAATAATAATAATAATAATAATAATAATAATAATAATAATAATAATAATAATAATAATAATAATAATAATAATAATAATAATAATAATAATATGAACACAATTTGAAACCTAATCACTCTGGATAATAAGCCAATATTACCAGGGTAGGTTTGAAGTGAGAACAAACTGTTTCTGAATACACAAAGGGGGTTTGAATTTTCGTATGGCTAAGGCTTCAATAAGCCTTAGTATACGCCCTTTTACACTTGTATAACACCACAAAGGCCATGTTAAGATCAATCTTATGGCCTGTTTCGATTATATGTTTAGCGATAGATGATGATGGATGTTTATCCTCTGCTTTTATTGGGTCACTTGATTCTGTTTGTTACTGCAACCATTTTGGTACATGTCCACCCACCCCAATTTTGAGATCACGATTGCTCCTCCCTATGTATGTGTGACCACACACATTTAAGGTGGTAAACACTGTGGGATAACACAATCGTTTCCGTGTCTTTCAGGTTTTGGATGAAACATGAGCCTTGTTCTTTCTTTGATAATGATCTTTGCTGCGCGATACGTTTTGTTAATGAGTGATTTAAGCCTTTGTTTCAATAAAAGGCTATTTGAATCATCTCTGAATGGTAAGATGATGTAGACAGGCTTTTTTCTACCAAGGCTACAGTAGGTCTCACTGTACCACGGATTTTCTATCTATTTATGAATCTCAGAGGATAGCCATTTTTCATTGTTTTATTTAACAACTTAATACCATCATCAATGACGTCATTTGTACAAATACGATCAAGCCTGTTGAATAGGCACCTTATCAAACCACGTTTTTATTGCACAGGGCAATAACTATAATAACTAAGGTATTGACTTGTCCATGTTGGTTTCCTAAAAATGGACCGTTTGATTGAGCCATCTTCTCGTCTGCTCACATGTATATCTAGGAAGGGAAGCTGGTTGTTCGTCCACATATATCTTATAAAGTGACATGTTTTCGATTAAGTCATCAGCCAGATTGTTCGAAATGTATTGCGTTGATATATCACATAGTTCTGATAATCTTCGTCTTATTGTATTATTGAAAAGAGAAGATTATCAAAACAAACATAAACAAGCAGTATTATACAAATAAAATCTACAAACAATACAGGGACGGAAAATGGTGACTGAACAATACATAATTGAACAATAATCATCTACAATAAGAGGATGACTCCAAATAATGTTCGCAAATCGGTGGCATCAGATGTAAAGTTGATGAATAACTGTGATCATTAAAATCGAATACATAGCATATCGCAATAATGCTGGCCTTAGCATATTGGTTTAAATTACTGAACAGTATAGATGATTTCCACATGAAGCGTCGCTCACGGTATGTTGTGATCACATACTTTGTTATCCTTCTAGCCATTGTACTATGAAGATGAATATCTTCATTATCAGTAATAAGGCAGGTTTAATGTTGGAAATTGTAATGCATTCAAAGCTTGCTTTGTTTAGTTCCAAAGATAAACCATAGCAAAAATTATATCACTAAGAGTACTGATGTGTAACTAAGTAACGATTTATCGTGAGCGACCAGCCAACAGGCTAAATAATTGCCAAAAATTAGCCACTTAGGATCAAACAATTCGCTTTCCCTTATAGTATTTCACAATCATATAATTTGATGAAGGTACTAAATAAGTAATAAATTTTATTGATTTACCTTGCCAGCTACCGTAGTTTGAGATTTTGATAGACTACGTTGATATGAATACTGGTAATCATGTACTGTTTCTAAACCCGCAAGAAGAGAACGTAGTTGTTGTTCCAAACTAGAGGCCATGCTTAAATTGAGAGTAGAATAACGACCAGGATGGTCTTTTGGAAGCGGTGGGGCCAGATCCAGCATTGATGAATTTGTAGAAAGCTCCGATCGCGACAGTTCTTGATTATCAACGATTTCAGTCAAAAGGATGTTTACGAGATGTGAATTATGAATCACAACCGGTATCTCTTCTAGAACACGAGTGAAACTGCTGCGACCTACACTGCTTGCCGCTTCCTAGAAGTGGAAATTTTCAAACATGAGAAAATGATACATTGGGTATATTTGCTTATTATTTACACCAAAGTGGATTTTTCTCGTTGGACAAAAGATAAGTGCTATTACTGTTGAAAAAGTTGGAAAAAAGCTTGCATATATAAGTAGACGGATGACTGTCATAGCAAATGATATTGATAATCGCCCCCCCCCCCAACTAAATAGATCGCAAATGAGCCATGTGCTGCCCACTTTACTCATGTCGAACTTATATGTATGATCATTTTTATTATATATAGTCTAGATGTTTGCACCAACCACACCACAGTTGATATTTGACAATCCGACATGTTTCACACATTAAATAAAAAAATTAATAAAAGGAACTTTATCGGGAACTGATTTAAAAAACATAATTATTCATAGTGTAATGACTGTTAATATTGCATAAATAACAATTAACGCGTATCTTTCAATTTCCACCAATTAGTATGTTTTTGTGTACAAAACCTAAAGCTGTTAGCTAAAACAATGCAAATTACAAAGCGATCATGATTTACTAATAACTTGCATTGCGTAGCACAGAACACATGTAACATATAAAACCTAACGAAAAACTACCTTGATTATCATATGCCTCACTAGAACCTAAAAATTTAGCTTAGAGAATGTAAGCCGACACTAAGGCTTAATATTCCTTTAGAATACAAGAACGATTAGATATTTTCCGACGGACTTTCCCCTATATTAGCTCCAAATAAATTAACCAAGCAAACGAATTGTACTGTAAAGAAAACGATAAATAACAACTATGCAGAAGCTAAAAAAAATCATAAAAACAAAGTGATACATGAACTTACACATTCCCATGGGACCTCGGGACCCTATAATTAAAACAACGAAATAAACGTTATCAGAGCATTAACCAAGAGATAAAATGCTTCACAGTTCTCAACATTCCCAACGTCATACTAAAGATACGTCTACAGCAATAGTGGTTGTGCTAATAGATGTTACCTGTTTAGTTGAGTGAGACGTTCCGAACGAACAAAAAGTATTTTACGACGAACTGCTTACCATCTAAGTGACACAATACTGTGATACATTATATCTTTTGGACTTTAATCTAAGATGGCTAGTGAAAATTCTGGAACCTATAGACTCATAAAACCAAAACCGTCTCCACTTATTGCCTTCATTATGTTTCGTTTCTCAGCTGCTGTTTTTTATAGCATACATCAGAGTTATAAGGATGATCACTTGCTAAAACGGGCAGCTTTATATCGATAACTA